AGCGGGAGCAAGCCTTCATGACTAAGGCTGATTAAAGTGCAAGTGGTTAGAAGCAATTTGAGTTTGGAAAGGATTTCTGGGGAAATTACAGTGAAAGTTTCCTTTTATATATATTGCTAAAGGATTTCCCAGCTTTCAACACATTCTCCCTTTATGGGTTGAATGAAATTTCCAAATTTGACCACTGGATAATCGTTTTGTTATTCATGTTAGACATGGAACCAGAGTGTCTAAATCCTCAGTATGTGTGTGTAACTACATGCCCTTTTGATGGTGAGCTGTCCCATAGCTTCTGCTTTGATAATCTAGTCCAGCTCCAGACTCACTCCAAAGCTCACAGGAGCAGGCAATTCAGCAAATGCAGTAGATATTAATGAGCAATAAAATAAAACTGAACAATTGCAAGGTCAAAAATCTACTGGATGAACCTGCACACCATGCCCCCTTTGAACTGTTGAGATGTTCACTTTAAAAGACTAGGAAGAAAAAAAGGGGGAATATTGTTTAACTGTTTGACACAGTGTTTTGCAAACTTACTTGATTAGAGAATCACTTAAGCATTTCACATTTTAAAATTTTTGGATTGTGTTTTATCCAGTTGGTAACCCTGGGAATGGAACTTTAGCACAATGGCTTAAAAAAGGCACTGATGGACTTGTTGCAATGGCCTCGTGTCTTAGCTTTGTATCTGCCAGGATCCATACAGGTGCTGGTTCTAATCCTGGCTATTCAACTTCTCTTCCAGCTCCTTGCTTGTGGCCTGGGAAAGCAGTAGAGGATGGGCTAAAGCCTTGGGACGCTGCACTCATGTGGGAGATCTTGAAGAAGCTCCTGGTTCCTGGCTTTGGAAGAGCTTAACTCTGGCCATTGAGGCCACTTGGGGAGTGAACCAAGTGAACCAGCAATGATCTCTGTTTCTCTTCCTCTCTGTAAATCTGCATTTCCAATAAAAAAAAAATTAAATAAATCTTGTAAGAAAAAAAAGACAATGAAGGTGAGAAAAAGTCCTATCTTATTGGCATCTTCTTCTCAGGTCACTTAGCACTGGACTTCTGGCTTCTGGCCCTACCACCGCTCTCTGGTAGCTCTGGTAGAGAGATGCTTGAGGCCACAGTCAGTCCCAGAGGCTACACTGACTGTTGTTGCAAACAGCTGCATGCATGCAGAAGGGGAGGACATCCCAGACGAAGCTACACTGAGTGCCTCCTCTTGACCACAAGAACACTAGACAGGACCGCCTTTTACAATCACACGTGGTCTGACATAACCTGGGTATACTCCTGAGGAGGATGCACGAGCACTTCCTTGACCCTTCACTCTATTTTTCTTACTACCAGAATATACCAAACTCTTAGTCACGTTTTGTGCCATCCCAGGATTCTGCTTAATTGTAATAGGGAAGTGACATGTTATCACCCAGGGTTGTATCAAGGGCTGGCTCTACCCATGCTCTTCCCTGCTTTGGGGGTGTGTATAAGCCACTTCCTCTGCCCTTGGAAGCTCCTGATTTGTTGAGACTATCTGTTTCTTTCTTTCTTTTTTAAAAAAATATTTATTTATTTTTACTGGAAAGGCAGATTTTTTTTTTAACAAAGAGAAGAGACAGAAAGATCTTTCATCTGCTGGTTCACTTCCCAAGCAGCCAGAATGCCCAGAGTTGAGCTGATCTGAAGCCAGGAATTGGGAGTTTCCTCTGGGTTTCCCATGTGGGTGCAGGATCCCAAGGCTTTGGGCCATCCTTGACTGCTTTCCCGGGCTGCAAGCAGTGAGCTAGATGACATGCTGGGCTGCCGGGACATGAACCGGTGCCCATATGGGATCCCAGCACATGCAAGGTGAGGACTTAAGTCACTAGGCTACAGTACCGGGCCAGAACTATTTGTTTCTTAAGTTTAGCTTTAATGTCACCTCTGATTAAAGCAGGACCCCTGCTTCAGTTATTGAAGTCTCTTTTTTTTTATTACCTAAGTATTAATTTATTATTTTCTATTGTAATATGCAGTTGTATGCTTTATGGCTTTTCTCTTCACCTATATTGCTACATGCTTTGCTTTTTTAAAATAGTATCTGTCTAACCACACACCCCACCCTTCCTCACTCCATCCCATCTGAAATATCAGTTCTACAAAGACAGAGATGTTTGTTTTGGCCACTGTTGGCTTCCCCATGCCTCAAGCAATGCCTGGTACAGTATGGGCCCAATTTGTTTATGGAATGAGTAAATGAAGAACAACTCTTGCTTTTCCCCTAACTTAGGTAATGATTGGATGCTAGCAGTTGATGGGCATGCTTATTGACCAACCAGTGGTTTTCATGGTGGGGAAGCAGGTGGCTCTTAATGCTTTGGATGGCAGCCATGGTCCACTGCTATGTGAGGGAGCACAGAAATACAGAACGCGATATAAATGAGTTTTTATTTGTAAAAAGTTACAAAACGATATTGTACAAAAATAAAGTCTGTAGAGAACTTTGGTTGAATAACACAAACGACTGAGACAGATCAGAGAAGTCAGAACTTCCAAAGAAGTGCACTCCTTATGGTATCAGATGGCAATCACAATGAGAAAGAAAAATCACAAACTTTACCCTTTTGTGGATTGAGCATAGCAATTTGCTTCTTTAAAGCATGGTTTTATGGTGTGTAGTTGATGCTGGGAACATATTGTCAACACCCACTGAACTCAACTGCCCCTCTGGACAGGGACCCTCCACAGGCAGCTGGGAATGTCACCAGCACCTCAGCGGGGTCCTCTGACATGGACAGCTCCCAGGGTCACATCCAGAGTGTGTTTCTCAAATGACCAGATGCCTGGCGCTGTGACTGCCATGAGGAGTGACAGGGTCAGAGGGCAGCCCCTTTCCTCCTTTTTTTCTGGTTGTGTGACAGAGCAGGAAGGTCAAAGAGGGGCAGAATAGTGGAGAACTTGGATCTTGAGGGTGACAGAGAGGGGACATCTGGTAGCTTTTGCTTCTTAGTAACTTTGTAAAATTAACATGATTGTGGGAGGCCAGGAGGTCACTGAATTGCTAAACCTTCCCTCTTTTCGTGGCTAACAGCCACTAAGTGAGTGATAGATTGTCTCCTGGATAAAAACCCCTGTCTGAATATCATTAAAAAAAGTTATACACTTTCTTGAATATGTACTGAGTAAGCATCTCCTGCCAGGCAAATCTACAACCAGGAGGTGGAGGGGTCCCATCCCATGCCCCTCCTTTCATGGGAAGGCAGTGCACTCTGTGAGCATGGGAGGGGGGGCACTGTGCACTTGTATTGCAGTGTGTGTACCCCACCCTCCTCAGCCCCTTTTTCCCTGGGGAGATCTTGGGTATACAGCACCAGCAATTGCTGAGCCAAGACAGATGTCCTGCACTTCTGAAGGCCATTCACACAGACTTGGCCATATTGGGTGGCCAGAGTGTTTCTGAGGGAGCTGGCAGGCAGAGGGAGAGTCCCCACACTCAGGGCCGAGCCTTGGCCCCCTGGACAGAATTGTTCATTTTTAGGGTGGCATTAAATCCAGGATTACCTAGGAAGAGGAATTTAGCCTTATATGTGTATGTGTGTATGTATAATAATATGGCTATGCATATTATTGAGAGATAGATATGGAGGGGCTAAGAGTTTAGATCAACAGAAAGTGGACTGACTCATGGTGAATATTTTTGGTGGTGAGGCCTTGGAGAAATCAAGCCCAGTGCCCCTGCCCCTGCACAGCTCTCCTGGGAACACAGAGGGTCTGGGATGCTCCTTCTGACATATTAAAAAAAAAAAAAAAAAAAAAAAAAAAAGAAAGGAAAAAGCTGAAACCTAAGGAAGCTACTGGGATTTGGGATTTTCTTAAAAGGTAAAGTAAGTGATTTTTGCCTAGTGAAAAACTTGTTAATACTTTGAAAAGTCTGGACCCTCGTCCCCCATTAAAATTTCCTTTTGTCACCTATCTTTGCATTTTGCGAGCACATATACTTTGGCACCTTTGAAAAGAAACTTTAATAAATAAGGGAAGAGAGAGAAATTCATTAGTGAATGGTAATAAATAACAATAACTTAAATCTCAATAAATATCTTCTCTATATTTCTGTATCTGAAACAAGATGCATTGCATCGATTAGCTTGTCTGGTCACTGGTGACCACGCATCAGTGGAGCTGGGTATGTAACGTCTGTCTCTCTGTAAACCGACAGGCCAGGGTGGGGGGCTGGGCTGCCTGCCCCAAGGGCAGCCGCTGGGTCTTCCCCACTTGCTCTCCTATACCAATGCTGCTGCCATCGCCGGAAACCATAACTCTTCTGTTTCCAAGGACAGAAAGGAAATGCTCTCAGGTGTGTTTGAAATCATGAGGACAGCCTTTTGGATTCCTAAACAATTTCTTCCCACCCTGTGCACCATGTTCAGGGTCAACCACCAACTGTTATCCCCCCATAATGCTGGTAATACTAAACCCCAGGCCTCACCTTTCCAATTCAAAGGCTACTACTATTGCTCCTCCAATCGTTTCCCACCTCTCCTTTCCAGGGGATATCATCCCTGAGTGATAGGAAAATGCTCCTTTCTGACTTTGAGCAGGAAAACGTGATGACAAAGGGTGGACCTCAGGTGGATGGGCTCCCCAGTGTCTCTTGACACATGAATGCAAACCACAAGAGATACACGAGTGTGGTCCTCTGAGCACATCCGCACCTGCACTGGCGACTGGTGACAGTGGATGACGCCACAGGCAGCCAGGGACGCCAGCCCCGAGCTTCTGTTGACATGGTTGGCCATCCTGGAGAGTCCTGACAGCCTTTTGTTCTCTCTTTCTCTTCTGTCCAGTTTTCTGTGGCTGGATCTTCCTCTACCAGGCTCCCATGCCTGCTGCCTTCTTCTTCTTCATCCATATCTTCCTTCTCCTCCTCCTTCTTGGTCCTCTTCTTCCATTCTGGGCAAACATTTCCTGGGAACCTTGGTCCCTTTCTTTACACTGTAGCAGGAATGCAATACGCAGCAGTCTCTGGAGCCAGAGTCAGATACATCCACACCTTTTAGCGGAATGCTTTCTTAGAATATGGTAAACCAGGTTATCGTCCAAGAATGACAGGTCATCATCAAAGGCGATGGGTCTGCAACATGCCTGACCTGCCTTGTCGCTCACCAGCCTTTTACTTTTGGATAAGTTTTTGAGTATTTTGTCATACATTGTCTCAGCGGCATCACAAGAGCCACTGCAGTACCTAAAAATCAGTTCCTCCTTGGTTTCATAGCCCAAACCTAAGTCAGTGACATTTAAGTGTATTGCAGTTAAGACACAACCCCGATTTTTGCCCCTCTGGCCTCTCCGACCTTTTCCTCTGGAAGTTTCGGGGTTGGCAGCTGTAGCCTGCCGATTCCGCTCTCTTCTAGGAAGCACTGCCATTTGTTTATCTGGTGACCTTTTCAGTCTCCTAATGGTGGCTTGAATGAAATCCATGACATCGTCAAACTGATCAGGATAATTCTCTGGCATATTTGCTGTTTAAGGAGAAAAGAGAAAATGTCACATGAGATCATAGTGATCATGCCAGGCAGGCTTCGAGAACAAGGTGCCCTGAGAGTCAGCCACGATGGGACCCACAGCAAAACTGTCAGCCAGTTGAGCTACGTGACTACTGTAACTGTCCCCTTCTACCCTGTTCCCACCAGATAGGGACCGAAATGTTCCATGCAGTGCTTTGCAGACTCATGCGGTGGTTGACATATTACCCTGTGGAAAACAAATCTTTAGCTGTGTACCTGTCATTTGTAACAAGTCTACAGAGAGGCTGCTGTGAGCAGGCCCATCCTTTAGGGCTGAAATCTGGGCTTGCTCATGTAGCTGAGAGTGGTGGTTCTCACACCTCAATGTGTGGAATGCCCCAGAAGATTCACTGCAATGCAATTTCCCGGCTTTGCCCTGAGATACCCCAACTCACTTGGTCTAAGGAGGGACCAAAGAATCTGCAATTTTTAATAAGCCCTCAAGGAATTCTGATATTCAAGGTCTAAGCTTTGAGAAATATGGTGTTAGAGGGGGCAAAGGCTAAAGGCTCCCAACTTGGCTGCTTTCATCTGGAATACGGAGTAGTCTACTGAAACTGTGATGCCACATGATTATGTGATGCAAGAGCCATCTCCACAGAACTCAGGGAGAGCTCATGCATTCCATGCTTTTCCAGAACTTCCTGAAAAAAAGTGAAGAAAAAGCAAAACAACTGTTCCCTTACTAACAATGAGATGAACCTGCCACTTCACTGAAACAGCTTGACTCTAATGAAAAAGGATAGTGGTTCCTTCCAACAGCATTTATTATTTTTTTTCCAAAAATTGACTTATTTACTTACTTAAAAGTGACACAGAGAAAGGAAAAGACACACAGAGAGTAACTTTCCATCTACTGGTTCAAGTCCCACATGCCCTACACCTGCCAGGGCTCTGCCAGTCAGAGCAGCCAGGACTGGAATCAGTGCTCTGTCATGTGCTGTGGAAGTTCCAAGTACCACAACATTGGCCCTTCCAACGGCTTTCAGTGACTCACAGCCACAAACAAGCAGAACCACTGTTTGTGGCTGGATGGCCCCCAGACTTGAGAGTGGGGACACATGTGGGCTGCCACATGGTCCCACTGTCTGGCTGCAAAAAACAGGACAAGAGATGTGTACTCCAGGAAGGCACCTTAGAGTAACAACGAGGGGGTGGTCCATCATCTGAGACTCATGGGTACAAGAACAAAGTAGCAGTCTCTTGCTATTTCCTGTCATGTCTCAGCAGCTGTTTGCTTTGGTTGAGTAGAAGACCACTGCTGGGAACAGCTTAATGGATTTTTAAAAGAAGAAAGAAATTCAAACTCCTATTTGCTAGGTAGTAAGCTATTATGCTTCTTTTATCATATTTTCAATTAATTTACTTTGTTTTGGGTTCTGAGTGGTTTAGAAATATGTATCTCAAAAGGGTTGTTAGCAAGAATAAAGGTGGTTCCCCCCCCAAGTCTGTGTTAAAATAAAATATAAATAATATATAACCAATGTCAAACAAACCTAATTAATAAATCACATCAGGTATCCTAATATGTAAGAAAACCTAGCTAAGGCAACTTAACCCTATGTATGTGCATGTAATAGATATCTACATGTATACTTAAGCTCACAAACATGCACATATCCCATATATGTACGTATGAGGGGGCAAGTTCATATAAATGTATATTAGATGAATTTCAAAATTTGGGATACAAAAGCAGGCTTATTTTTTTAATCTTATTTTTAAAAAGAGAGACAGAGATAGAATTCCCATCATTGAAAGCATTTAGTGACCAGGCCTGGACTGGGGTGAAAGCTGGCAGTCAGGAACTCCATAGAGAACTAGCACAGGAGTGGACAGGAGCCAGCTCCTAGATTCACTTCCTGCTGCCTGCCAGGGTATGCAGTTAGCAGGAACATGGAATCTGGGGCTTGAACGCAGATCCTCTAGTGTGAGATGTGGGAATCCCAAACAGTACTTCTAAACTTATTGCTTGATTCCATTTCTCCATAAACCCTTTGAAGCAGCCTGCTATGTATGTGAGTGGATAATATATAATGGAAAGGTTGAGGACTGCAATCCTAGATTGCTTCATTGCTTGGTAGTAGAAATTTAACATTGGAAAATTCCATTTGTAGAGGTCATAAACCTATTTTGGCCTTGGCTAAAGCCTCATCATCTCTTGCCTATGTAACTACAATAGCCCCGACCTGATCTTCCGCCTTCCATCTTCATCCTCTGCTCTAATGTGATCTATTTTCCACTCAGCAGCCAGGGGAATACTCTTAAACTCTGAGCTCAGGTCATGTCCTCCCCAACACTCAAAAATCTGCAATGCTCCCCATGTTTCCTCCAGTAAAAGCTGAGGTCCATATGCCCTGTCTAACCTGGCCACTTCTGTTTCCTCCACCTTGTTACTTACCTCTGTCCTCCCCTCCTGCTTCTCTTCCTACTCTCCCTCCTGTTGTCCTGGTTTCTCAAGTTCAACCCAGCTGGTATTGGGGCTAGACTGCCCTGTGCACACTACAGGATGGTTAGCAGCAATGCTGGCCCCTACCAGCACCTGCCAGTAGCACCCTCATCTTCGTCACCACAAGCCAAAGTGTCTCCAGAAATTGCCAAATATCCTTTAGGGATAGAATAATCTGGATTGAGAAGTACAGCTCAGACACAGCCAGGGACGCGGGCCTTTGTGTCTGTTCAGCCTTGATCTCTGCTTATCCAGAGCACCAGGGACCACTCCCATGTTTCCTGGTCTCTGCTCCAGTGCAGACACCAACAAGCCTCACCCTGACCTCCCTGTTTAAAATGCACTCCCTCAACTCCTAATCCAGAACCCCCTGCCCTGCTGCCTACCCCCACATGCTTACTATAGCCCAACACGTGGCCCCACTTATTTCTGCCTTTGTTACTTGTCTTTTTCTGATCAAATGCCAATGAAAAGAGGCAGGAACTCGGTCTGAATGGTTCACTGATGGACCACAAGTTCTCAGAGTAGGAATTGTTCTCTGGGGCCTCTAAAAGTGTTTGCTGAATGAATCAAGTCACTTTAGGAAGGGAAAAGAATTTGGAATTTTTCAAGGAATCAGTTGAGGCTCATTTTGTGAGAAAATGAAAGGCTACAGATTGAACAGCCTGCCTATGCATCACATTAGAGAGCTTATGATGCCCTGAGTGGCATTGTCATTTCCCATTACTTTCAGTGCACTCAGGTTCCATTTGGGAGAGGGGACTGGGCCAATAGGAGAAAACTTTGAACTGTCATTTTCTTTGAACTGCTTTCTTTCTTTTTCTTTTCTTTTTTTTTTTTTGTAAGGTTTATTTACTTTTATTGGAAAGGCAGATATACAGAGAGGAGGAGAGACAGAAAGGAAGATTTTCCCTCCGATGGTTCACTTCCCAAGTGGCCGCAACGGCTGGAGCTGAGCCAATCCAAAGCCAGTAACCAGGAGCTCTCCTGGGTCTTCCACATGGGTGCAGGGTCCCAACGCTTTGGGCTGTCCTCGACTGTTTTCCCAGGCCACAAGCAAGGAGCTGGATGGGAAGCAGGGCCACCGGGATACGAACCGATATCCATATGGGATTCTGGCGTGTTCATAATGAGGACTTTAAACATTATACTATCGCGCTGGGCCCCTGGACTGCTTTTTAATTCAACTTGCTTTAGGAGGAGGCTTCCTTAAAAAATTTTAAAAAAGAAACCTTTAAATCAAATGATCCAAAGAGACAAACTATTTTTTTTTAATAAAATGAACTGTTTTAATGCTGTTTGTGATGTCTTTAAATAAATAATTATACGAAATTTTTTAAAAAGATGTGCCTTTTAAAAAAAGATACTTCTAGAGAAAACTGAACTGCTACAACAGATATGTTAGAGATGATTAGTTAAGACACAAAAAGTCTTTGAGTTCCAAAACTACAACAGCATCAACTCTTCAGTTTATAATAGGATTCTCACATCCTGGGGTCCCTGGCTCTGTTCAAGAATTCCTGACTTGATGTAGGAGTCTGAGAACACTGAAGTTCAGAACAATTCACAACCAACTGAAGAGTGAGCACAAAGGATGAGATGTTACCACACTGATACAAATCAATGGGAGAACATTTGAGTTATACAGAGCCATGTTTCTGGTAGAGAGTCTCTTTAATTCTTACAAGCTACATAAGCTCACACCACCAGAGTTAGCACTTTAGTGTCCTTTTCTATCCTAAAATATTTTCTAGATTCTCAAAAAATATTTCCTTCTCTTCAGACTTTTTGATTCTGTGGGTGCCATAGGCTTTGTTTCTCAGAGAAGTCCAGTTAGATCTGAATTTCAGGAAGTGAATACTTTTAAATTAAAATAACCCCAAATATTGCAAGGGACAAGGAAAACAATATTCAGGACATACTTATGCCTCACTTTGAGGAGGGTTAGTCCTGTCCTTATTTTGAATTCTACCTGGGCTTTTTGGATGAATGCCATACAGTTCTGTGAATGCACAAATGACTTTAAGATTTTGCATGCTGTAGTAAACAGAGTACTAACCTTGAGTTAAAAGGTATTCTGGTATGGGTAGATACATGTCAGAGAATCTGTCTAAACCCATGCTCTGTCTAATTTGAAAGTGAATCCTGATGAAAACCATGAACTTTGGGTGATGAGGATTTGTCATACAGGTTCAATGTGAAGTCAGGGACTGCAGCAAATGTCCCCTTCTGGTGAGAATGCTGATGATGGAGGAGGCTTGGTATGTCTGGGAGCAGGTGGCACATGGGGGAAATCCCTGTACCTTCCTCTCAATTTTGCTATGAACCCAAAACTGCTCAAAGAAAATAAAAGACATTTATCAAAAAGCGTTCCTGGAACCTGGAAAGCCCTCAGTTAAGCATGCAACAAGGCTAGAGCTGATGAAAACTCCTCTTTCCCCTGGGGAAAATCTCTTGGACACCTTGTTAAGTCTGACCTCAGGCTACAGGTGACCCTTACTGATCT